AATTCCTCTGAGAAGTCAAGGATTCCTTTAGAATCGAGAATTATAAATCATTCTGAATCGTAAATCTCGTAAGTCATAACTCTAAAGACGTTAAAATGTTATTTGTGCTCAGATAAAAAACTTTTGATAGGTAATTCCCATCGAACTCCTTGGAACTATAAGCTTTCTATACTGCTGATTGCATCATGTTCAATGTGCAGGCATCATGACAAATAATTCCAGACAAAGATCACAACATATCTTCATTGAATTGAACCATGAGCGTATGGATTAACTATCAAAATAATGAAGAAAAGTAAACTCACTATCACCACTCCTCAATTTTGAATATATTTCGAAAGTATGATTCCTGAAACTCATTGAAGAAATTGTTGTGTAACTGAAAAGCTATATTTACCGATTGTTTTCCCGATTGAAATTATTTTCATTATTGTTTGTACATACATTAAAAATTGTATGAATGAAAACAAAGATGATGTATAACTTGTAGAACATTTGGTTATGAAAATAACAAGACACAAATTCAAAATCCAAAGGGGTTCTCCGATGACGCCCAGAAGGGCGATTTTTATCCAACAATCCAAAATGATAATCATGAAAGAGCCGATTCTTAGGAATGATCCATCGAATCAACTAATACCAATGAGTTGCTCTGAATGAACAAGGTTGTTGCCACGATCTCACTGAAAAATTTGAGGGGGAAAATATCACAGAAATTAAAAAGGATTTTTAGGAAGAAAGGATCAGCCAGGAACCTCTTTTCTTATTGGGATTGTTATCCTTACTTATATAGTTACTCAGTTTGTGATTCGAAAAGTTTAAGCGTCTTGCAAAGTTACATATCTTTCTAGAGATTTTGTTTGGGTGCCATGAAGTCACTCTATGCATATAATGATTGATGATAATGATAATGATAATTTATTTTATATAAAATTACAAGAATTTCACACTAGTCACAGATACACTTTACAATCTAAACTTCAGGCACTACAATAATATAAAATAAAAAAAAAAAAGTGAAACATGACACACGAGAATAAATCCATGGTTCAAATATCAACATCGAACTCGCATGTACAGGAGGGCATGTGTAGGAGAAACTCCTCAACTGAGTAAAAACAATGTAACATCAGTATACCACGTATTTTTCTCTTAAATACTGAATAAGTTGAACCTTTATAGCTGTGTCGTAGGGCATTATAGAGCTTAGCACTGATATATCTATATGAATTTTGTGTTTTCTTAATTCTACAAAATGGTATGCAGATATCATCACTATTTCCAGTTGAGTATGAATGTATATGATTGTGCCGTACAACACCATCTGTTAAACATTTTTTATGAATGAATAGAAGGCACTCCATTATATAGCAACAGGGTAATGGAAGAATTGATAATTTTTTGAAAAGAGGTCTACAGTGAGATAGATAGCTACTAAAACTCATGATCCGTATAACTTTCTTTTGTACTACAAATACTTTTTCTTTGTGACTACAGTTTCCCCAGACTATTAGTCCATAAGTTAGTATACTATGAAACAAGGAGAAGTAGGCCATCCTTAAATGCTGGATATCTAACTGATACCTTAATTGTCTTATTCCAAATGTTGCTCTTGCTAAGCGCTTGCATAGATCTTGAGTGTGATAACCGAAATCAAACTTCGAGTCTAAGTGTATACCTAAGAGCTTAACAGGTTCGCTGTGATTGCTGTATGTAGTAGAAAAGAAAATATTCTGAGTTTTTGTTTCATTGAGAGTAAGACAGTTTGTGCAGAACCATTCTTTGGATATTGACTCAGACTGTTCTAGATTAGTAAGTGATTCTTGACTGGTCTTGCTAGTGGCTATATAAGTTGCATCATCAGCGTAGAAAATTGGTTTTACAATTTGACCAAGATTAATAGCCAGATCATTGAAATAAATGATGAAAAACAGGGGTCCAAGTACGGATCCGGATATACTTCTTCCAGGTGCTTTTCATTAACCAGAAGTCAGATGTATATGTATATTTCTATACGAATTATTTTATTCACTTATTCAGACTCTGAGATCCCTTTTCCATGGTATGAAAAATGCAGCAATACCTTATCTAGCAAGCGTGTTAATAGTTTCATTTCCTTCAAGTCTCTCAAGCCAGTTTGATGTATTTCAATCATCAGAATAGAGTTGTCGACCATAGCTCTTTAAGTATCACAAGTTAGGAAAAACCATTACGCAACTACAGTGGGGGGCTGGGGGGGAGCGCTGCCCCCCAGCATGTTGAGGGCTCACCGCAGAAGCGAAGTGAAGGATGAGATGGTCAGGCCCTCCGAGAGAAGTCCTAGTTACGCCAATGGGAATAGTGTTTTTTGCGGGGCCAACGTAGTCAGTTTATCACCTTTTCTGTAGCAATAATTATGTAATCATCAAGTGATGAATTGTCGCCAGACAACAATTATTATCTTAAGAGCTACTACACTGTGTACATAACGACACGTGAGTGTTATAGCAGGGCCACCATGTACGTCTCGATTAATTCCCCATGCGAAATTAAGAAGGAACAAGCGCGTCAGATTGGTTACCAATTAGAGCCCAAACCTGAGCTGAGTTTAAGTCGTTATGAGATATTTGACTTGCACCCACGCATGGTCACCCATGGTACGGCTCTGATAACTGGTAAAGCGGTGTTTTCCCCACCTGGGACCGCTGTGTCGTCACGAAAACTGATACATCGAGATCGCTATTTGTGCGCCGTTGCCACAATGGTTAAGTTTGTCTGGAGACTTCACGGCTTTCTTGGAAAGCATAACATTCAAACCCATTCCAGTAGGGCTTTCAGAGCTGTAAAGACACGGATAACACATTTTTCTCGTTCCTCAAGGGGCCTATACCTTTGACCAAGTGATGGTGAGATGCAGAAACAGCAGGAACAGTATCACTATCAGCAGCAGCAGCTAACTTTCACATCATTTTAGCCATTGATTGCTGCTGATGAGTGAAGCTAGATTTCATTTGTTAAGTAATAGAGTCAAGGATTTGGGTTCTTTGCAAATGCCAAAAATCTATGAGGAGAAAAACAACACTTCATCTATCTAGATTATTGTGTGAAATATTTGGACTGAATTCAGATGGCAGAAATGCTATTTTTCGATAAAGATTATGAGATGAAAAAAGTATTCACTATTTTTTCCATGTTCTGGTTCCCACGAAAAGGGATATCCTGTAATGTTCAGAGAACATCGTGAGAACCAAGGGAAATGAGGTAGGAATTGGTGTTCTTCTTGAATTCCTGGAGGTTATATGCCTCGGGGAACATCTACCTTGGCAGTGTTCCAGAGCCTCGCTGTTCGTTGAATGAATGAGTCCTTGGAAAGAGATGTTCTGCAGGTCTCCAAAGTGACCACAAAAGGGTGCGAAGCCTCAACTAGACGGGTTAATCTCGCGGGAACTGCCAAGGAAGGTACAATTGTTGATATTTCAGAAGAGCATCGTCCATGAAAATATCTATCAAATAGAGCCAGATGGTTCCACTACTATTTCCATAATAGCCTATATATCAGATATCGCTAAAATGAGGAAAAGCTCTAGAAACAGATAAGCTAGAATACCGATGTTGTTATTTTTGTTGTTTCAATTTTTCGATTGAATATATCTTTTGTTTGGTATTCTATAATAGTGAGATTTCTAGCACGATGAAATTTATAGGCAAATTATCTGATTTGTCCTTACCACAAGTGTATGGAAAGAATATAATAATATATTTATTTATATACTGAGGAGATGAAATCCTAAAAATGTAGAGAAATCATCTACCAAATATCAAATTAGCTAATCAATATTTCTTTCCAATGTGAATCATATGGTTCCGTTGAAGAATCCTAGCTGAGAGGTTAGCCTAATAGTGAGTTTTCGAAAGTATATTAATATAACTATATACGGGTGTTAGTGAATAAGTGCGACAAACTCCAGGAGGTGATTCCCTAATGAAGTTTATATAAACATGTGTCCTAACTTGCTTCGTTTTCGACTCAATTTTCGAGATACATGGTATTGATATTTCCATGAAAAATTGTTTTTTCTATCATTACTCATATGTCCTTTTACCAATTTCAATGAAACTCGGTGGTTTCGTTGAATGTAACATGGAGCTTTTTTTGATTTGATCAAATTCAAATTAATATTTTCAGTTGCGTCACAGTGGGTTGAATTATCGATATTTACGGTTAATGTCATTGTACGCCACTGGTTCTTCTGACTTCCATATTTTTATCAGATTGAACAATTGAAATATCAACTTTCTTATCCCCTTTGTTTCTTAATTAATCTTGCTTAGTATTTGAGGAAACAATAAAAATTTGATTTGACTCCAAATTTTAATGTAACCTCAATGAGAATCATTTGGAAATGTTGGGACTTTTGCAGTCTCCAATCATACTGAATTTTGGCACCATGAAAGCTTATACAGGGGCGTTATAAATAAAAACAATCAATACTTCCAACTTCAACATCCTGTATATCAAAAACGGAATACTGTAAACGGAGAAAGTTAGGACACATGTTTGTGTGAACTTCATTTACTAAAATATCACAAGGAATCACCTCCTGAAGTTTTTCGAAATTCTTCACCAACACACTGTACAGAAGCTTTTAGAAAAGTATATTCAAACGATTAGGTCTTCTGATTATGATATGCATTATCCACCTTTTGGTTGGCAGACTTTTTATTGGTCATCATGGAACATGCATTGTGTTGAAAATCTCGAGACAATAATGCATAGTCTGATGTGAAAAACATGATGATGATGATGAGGAAAATGAAAAAAGTGAGGAGAGGAGATTGTATATGAAAGTCGATATTTTTCAAATACTTTTGTCAATCACAGATAATATATTGGTATAGTTTTTCGCCCAGATATCTTCACATTTCTAGTTTCAAGTTCCTTTAAACCCGGTACACATTTGTAGCGGGTCAGGTGTATTTGTCCAATAAAGATATGGCAACATCGCCAGTGGATCGACTTCGCGCAAGAAACAATCTCCTGCTATGGATTTTCAGTGTGAGTTTGTATCCTGCCGTGTTTGAGTTTCATGTTTCGTGAGGTGCTGTGATTTAAATCCCTTTTTCGGATAACAGAAACCTGTAGGTGAGTGTTCACGTATTCGACGATTGAAGGCGGGTGCTTTGGTGGTTAATTTCTGCGCCACAGGTGGTTGAACAAGTGGCGCTTGACGTACAAAGTATAAGCGCCCGTACAGTGGAATCATTAGTGTTTCAGAGGAAGTCATTATGTAATAATTAGTTGTCTTCTGTTGTTTGTTGTGAGAATAAGTAATGAGTGAGAGGAAAGAGTGGGTATTCAAGTCCAATATCAACAAGAAACATGAAATAAATAAAGAGCTATGGGAATACACACTATTATGAACATAATGATGACAGTACTTACGTGCTTAAGAGTGTTGTCGATTTCTATGAACCTTTTGTTTTGGAGCAATAGTGAAATAACTGAAAGCGTTACAATAAATAGCGCTGAAAAACATGGAGTATAGGTGCGGAGACTTCAATACGTGCTCAGACACGAAACCCAATATTGAATCTTACTGGGACCTAATCAAAATACTTTTCTGAATATCCATCACTCTTAAAAATGTGGAAATATCCAAAAATCGAATAACCCAACTGAAATGAATAAATGTTATGTTATTTTTAAATTATATTATGTTACCTCTAAATTTTCAAATCATATACCTTAGTAATGTAAAAAACATACAAGTCATTTATTTTGCTCACATGCACTCCTCATACTCAAGCTGTCATTTCTGATTTCATCAATGTATCAAACTTGGGGTCTAGCGGAAATGAGTATACAGAGATATAGGGTGTTCAAAATCGAGATTTTTCAACTTTAGGATTTTTTTTGTCGAAACTATCCATTATCAGTTAAAACGGCTTTTATCTTGACTCCGGATTTACTATCCACTGAAATTTAATTGGAACAGATGAATACAGGGTGATCAGAATTCTGAGTCTTGATCCGCCCTGGATATTTGTTCCAATTAAATGTCAGTAGATAGTGAATCAAAAGTTAAGATATAGGGACATGAAAGAAAATCCGTTTCGATCGATATAATGCATTCCTAGTTTTGACACAAAAAGATCCTATATACGAAGTTGAAAAATCTCGATTCTGAACACCCTATATCTCTGTAATCATTCTTGCTCGACACCAAATGTGCATTAATAAAATCAGCTCTTCGGGGGAAATCAAAAAATATCAACGTTACTAGTACTTCCTGGTTTAAGCGGCAACAACGTTGCATTGCTGAAAATATTCCAGATCGATAGAACAAGAGCAACTACTTGAATAACCAAATTTTCAGAATGATCCTATATATACCCCGGTATGCCAATTTTTTTCATGCACTGTCTTCCTAAATAGGGATACTCAATAAATATTTACAGAAAATTTTCAAAAACTTTGAGCTGATCAAATAGTTATACATTAGTATTGACAAAGATTACTGATAAAGTTTATCTTCTGTAATCTATGGTTTTGATTCACTGTTTCGTTCCATTAAATAGTGCCTGTCATATGATGGCGTATGGGGTCAGTAACAGCGTCTACACACAAAGGCTGAAATACATCTCGGGGGTCGATGGCCAGTTGATGTGTACATATACACCAACAAAATACATTATCTGTTTCTAAGTGTTGAATAATGATCAGACATGATTATATTATTATTACTGGTGTATTACTGGTGATGGTACCCTCATGCTTGGAACATTACAATATTCTATCAGTACTTCAGCACTTATCTCTTTCAGAAGAATTCTAGTCACAATCAGAATGAAAATTTATGTTTATACATATACCTACACAATAATAACCGGTAATAACCGACCACATATCACTTTTCTTGAATTCATTCTTGTATAGTGGGCCTTATTGCTTTTTCAATTACTATACAAGGTGTATATCTGAATAACACCGAAAAAATTGAAGGGGTGATTCTGTGATATAATTTTTTTTTGTTAAATAATTGAGTTTATGTATATGTACATAGCTTCTATTGTATATAAGAATGACTTAACTGGCGACTCTCTATTGGAAATTAAATTTTCACTTTTCTGATTGCTGTCATGGGATCTACATAAATTATATATGAGTTGGCTCTCACTTCATGATGTTTTGGTACAATGTTTTGGCACAGTGGTTTGGCACAATCAAGCAGATAGTATAATGACATATCAATAACATATCTATACCCTCGTCCGAGCCCTCGTCTATACCTATCAAGAAAAATCATAATTATTTGATAATACGGTCTGAAGAACCAATGACGGCTAAATATCTAGACTGTCTGACAGTCATTGGTAGAACATTCATTTCCAGCGACTTATTGAAATAGTTATTTGTGTATCAAGAATGCAAAGTGATAGATTGCCCAAATTTCCTCTACATTTTCTGCTACATCAGGAGGTGTGATATTTTACTGATTATTTTCTTCGTATGATTTTAAACCAATCAGAACGTTCGATTGAGTGAGGCTACCTCGTATAATTTCGATTATTGATCATTCCAGAATTACGTCACTTGACAGGTTGCTGAGGGGCAAACATTGTATTTTGTCAAGATCTGTCATAGAAAACCAGAATCAGTTGGATCGTTTTCCTTGGAATCCGAGTTGGAACCAGGAAGAATTTCATAATTTTGTTTGGTGAAACTGTTATTATATTGTGGATGTGGCAGAGGGACGGCCTGGGCAAGGCTCATCAAAGGTAACATAACAGATAGTTTGTGTGCCCCTCAAGAAACCATGTCAAAATCACGTGTTCTAGAATGATCAATACGTGGTGATTATACATAGAGTAACTAATTATTTCCATTTCCATAGTTACCAATTCATATTGTTAGAAACAAACAAAACGCGTCGTGAATTTTCATTTATTAATTTATTAATCCTTGTCAAAAAATGAGTCGATTCGGAGCTTTACCATTGGGAGTGATAGACGAGTGTGTTCAAAACAATAAGCCTCATAATACAGTGAAAACAAAAAAGTACGTATGGAAACAGTTCCTTACGTTTTGTAGTGAGAGAAACTACGTACTGAATGAATCGATTCCTACTGAAATGATGGCAACTATTTTGAAAGATTGGGCTTTCAATATGCGATAATGTAATGGAGAGAATTATAAAGAAAATGTTGTGGAAACCATATGGAACGTTACGGCAAAAGAAATCCAAGAAAAATATATGAAGGATTTCGATAGAGCGATTGACCCTTTTCCCAGTCCAATATTTGTGGATGCACGAAAAGCGAGAAATTCAAAAAGAAGGGAGCTCCAATCCTTACCGGATACGAGGAAGGTCAGTGCATCAGCATTCAGAGACAATGAGTATGAGGCAATGATAGAAGCTTGGGATGAAAATGAACCAGAAGGGTTACAGATAAAGTTTCTCTTGATTGCGTCTGTAGAACTTGCTGCGCGGTCAGATTATTTGAACTGTCAAACTGACACACTTTGTAATTATGCAACAAGTTATCGATGTATAACCCGAATATTTTGAAGTACTTATAGAATTACTACTGACTATTCCACTCTTGATCTCGAGAACCAATCAGAATCGACCATTTTCAAGGTTTCTTCTGTATTCTAGCGATATTTTTTGTTTATTAAATTTTATCGGACTTGCTCTACCAATACAGAAGCCGAATTGACCCACACGTGACCAACAAACCTCGTTTATCAGCGATAAAATTTTGACATCGTGTCTGGTCAAGATTGCTTTGGATTCAAATCTGACACAAGAGACAATAACCTAAGTACCTACTTCATTTTATTTACTTATAATTCGCGTTAGTGAGACATTTTGTACGAAAGGCGAGACAATTTCATTCTGGCTGGACGTTTCATGTGTAATTTGATTATAAGTTTGCATATTTGTTGACGGTCTGACTGAACAATACTAGAATTCAAATTCCTTTTTAAAGTAATCTTCTTCAGTCACTCAAGCTAACGTATCAGGTGATGTGGCTCAACTGATAGAGTTGTGGCGCGGTGAAACGAAGGTCGGTGGTTGAAGCCCGTCGGCGACAATAATTTTTTTTTAATTATTTCATGTAACATAAATTCAATTTATTTTGTTCGAATTGGATAGCAAATGTATACACTCTTTTGAGAGCAACCATCTCCAAGATAATAAACAAAATACTGTTTATCAAAATTGTACATTCCACTTTGTGAATAACTATAAGTAGGTAGTTAATTTCTAAAAAATTGAATTCTGTATTTCATTACTATCATTATGTTCTTCTTCGCAGTTTGAGTTGGAATATACTTGAATTATGTTTCCTATTTCTTATATATATTGTCTCCGAGATTGTCTCAGTCAATCATGAAATAGTCATACGAACACAACTCGTGATACTATTTTTCCTGGAAATATTCGTCGATTGACATACTCCAGCTTGCTGCTCTAATTTCGCTCATGACATTGATCCAAAACTACTCGCCTACGGCTCGTAGTTTTGATAACAATGTCATTCACGAAATTACTAGGCAACAAGCTGTCGTAACAATCACCGAATATTTCCGGCAAAATATTATCACTTGTGGTATTACATATGATAATATTTCCACTCACGAGCGCAAATGCTGTCAAATAATGAAATGTGAAAGAAAACTTCGATTTTGTGTGGAGATTCAACAGCGAGTTCAACAGCGTCAAACGTTACATTTTCTCGGTTGAAGAAATGAAAAAAACATGTTTATATTCAGGTTGTCTTTCTCACATAGTCCAATCAGGTCTAATTGGTCATGTCGCAATGAAATATGAGTACTGGAGGAGGGAATCAGACATGAATCGAATTTTGTTCAGTATAAGACTCTCCTTTTTATTATACTTACTAAGAGGTGCGTTTCCTGTTAAACATTTTCAGAGGTGTCATGGCATTGTAATTATTGTCCACGTCTATAATATACATTCCAGAAATCATAGGTGTGTCATTCTCGATAAAACATGAATGTGAAGTTAGTCATCGTGTATATTATATTCAACAAATACTCACCTTGTTTGAATAATATGTCAGCAATCGTCAAGTGAGCGATTTCAAGAAAATGTTAATTTCATGGTGATTTTG